TGCCGCTCCCTACCCCCCCCTCCCCCCCCCCCGCTTCACCGGTCATGGCTGGATTTCTGCACTCATGCACTACGCCCGTGGGCCCCTTTAAGCTAGCACCGCCCCCCCGGGTCAGTGCAGGGGCCCCTTTGCCAAGTTGCCTCCCCCCAAACGCCAAGTCTGCGACCGCCCCTGACAAGAGGGGTCCGAGCGAGGTGCCCTGATAGACGCCAATTGGATTTCTGACTGCGTTGGATAAGCGCTGACGTCCACCGGGAGTGCTCAGTCTGACATGCTGATAGTGATTTGAAAGGTAACTCGAAAACCAAGCGGTCTCCACGCCGTAAAGCTGTAGTTTTTCAATCAGTTTTGAATGATTGACAACATCAAAGCACTTGCTTAAATCTAACAGTACAAGAAGAGATATTTCACCATGGTCTAGCCTCTAGCACCACTCTAGCACCACCTCTAGCCTCACCACCCTCTAGCACACGATCTGTAACGTCTATGAGCGCTGTTTCAGTAGAGTGATATCGTCGGAAGCCGTGTTGCGTGTGAGAGAATAGGTGGTTCTGATCGAAATAGGCATACAGCTGCTTGTGAACAACACGTTCTACTATTTTGGCTAAACAAGGTACAAGTGATATCGGTCTGAAGTTACAGGGGTCTCTGATGGAGCCCGACGACTTATATATGGGCTGAACAACTGCGACTTTCCACGAATCAGGTACAATGCCGGTGACAAGGCTGGTATTCACAATGCATAAAACAACATGTGAGATAGCACTGAAACACTTTTTGAAGAAGTTCATGGACAGTCCATCTGCTCCACAGGCTCCGCTACTGTTCATGTTGGAGACCGTGTTCAGCAGCTCATCACCAGACACCGGCCGCACCGCGAACCTGTCCGACACCACCCGTGGCAGGCGGACCGGCAACTCCGTACAAGCGGCCGGCACCCCAGCCGCCACGGCCGCCGCTGTCCTGGCGCCGATCTCCGCGAAGTATTGGTTGAGCGTATCTGGGTCGATGTCCGGAGCGGTCGTCTGTCCGTCCTTCTTGCCTGCGATGACGGAAGGCACGCAGCGGTACACATGGAGCCGGGAGCCGCCTCAGCGGTGCGCTGTGGCTGACGGATAGCCGAGCGGGCCAGCCGGTTCAGTTCTTTGTACCGTGCTCGGTCTCCCCGCTGTAGGGCGGCGCGCCGCTCAGCCAAGACTCGCCGGGTCTGAGCGGAGACAGGCGGCGGGTTGGGGTTACGAATACGAACCCGGTGGACCGGGGCCAGCTCGTCGAGCACTGTGTTGAGGCGGCAGACCAGAAAGTCGCTCTGCCACTGAACATTGTCAGTAGCGAAAACAGGAGACCAGTCGATGTCACCAAGTCGTGCACGGAACGCGTCCATATCAATGGAATTCCAGCCGCGGGTCTCTATCACAACCGGAGGTGGGCGGCATTTACGGACGCGCAGCAGAGCACGAGTGAAGTGATGATTACTGAAATCGCACCTGCGCACTCCCTCCCGCGCCACCGCGTCGGCACAGTTGTATTTGTATTTGTATTTAATTTAACCCCCCAGTGCCCAGAGAAAAAAAAGTTTTCCGATTCCAAAGAAAATTCACATGTTTGCCCCCCTATACTAGTGTTGTAAACAGCCGAAGAAATTATCACTGTACCTTTTGTAGTTTTCGACATATAGCACTGGACATAAATGTCCAGATGGGCATTACCATGTACAAAAATGGTGCTTTGCGGAAGATTAGATCAAACCACACCAGACCACTTAAGTTTTCTGTAAAAAAAACTCCATTCAGCTAAAAAGCAAGTGTATTTCTAAAAAATCAACCAGAGTGTCAACATGCTCTCCTTGTCAACTTGCTCTCCATGCTCATGTTGTCAACACACCGGTGACATCCAGCCACTCCAGATTATCAATCAACGAATTTAAGATCAAGCAGCAAACTGAGACAAATCCCAAATTGGGGCCATCAGCACTGTCGCTGCTTGGCAGGGGTATCGCCGGGCGTCCACCAGTGGAAGCCTGAACATCTTTTCACTGGGCGACGCCATGGAAGCCGGCGAAGCAGTTGACGCACAGGAACACAGCACACTTCACGCACTTGGTTCCCACCTTCGCCGTGCAGCCTTCATTCCGGCAGGTCCCCCGTGACGGGGCCTTGATGATGATGTGTCCCATCCCGTCGAAGCGGATGGCCTCGGATCCTGGAGCCGCAAGGTTGCGGTTCATCATGGGCTTGCTTCCTCTGGCCCATCGTCGCAGGATGGTGCAGGCGTACTCGCGACGGAACTGGACATAAGTCATCGTGCCGCCAGCGCGGCAGTAAAGACGCCAGGCGTTGTGGACTGCCGTGTCCACAAGCCATGTGAAGATCGGCCACCACCACTTCTTGCCCTTGACGGCGATCCTGCAGTGGTTGACATTTTGATCCATCCTGTCAGTTCCACCCATCATCTCGTTGTACTTCCCGACAACATGAGGGCGGTCAACTTCCACATGTCGCTTCTGCACACGGCTGTAACGGCGCACCTTGCCTGGGGGAACATCGCCGTAGCATGTCGAGGCCAGAGTGACGGGTGCATTGTCTTGCCACCTGACGAGAATCACGTTCCCGTCCCGACTGGTGACAGCCTGGTGCATGCCTCGTTCCTTCTTCCTAAACTCCTTCGTCGCACTGAGGCCAGTCGTGCCAGGGATGCGGTTCTCCCGGATCGTGCCTGTCACGTCGTATCCTCTCTTCGTCATCTCCTGCATCAGGGGGATGGACATGAAATAGTTGTCCACGAAGAACTGGAAGGGCAGCTCGCGGAACTCCTGCTTCATGTGCTCCAGCAGATCGAGCACGGTGGCGCCGCTCTTTCCAACAAGCTGAACGTTGTCGTCAGTGTGCTCCGCGACTCCCCTTCCTTGATAGAAGTCGAACGCCAGGAGATATCCGTCTGGCGTGTTCTGTGCCCAGGCCTTGAATCCGAAACGGATCGGTTTGTTCCGGATCGCCTGTTTCAGACCGTGTCGCCCAAAGTAGGCGATCATGGCCTCGTCGTGGGAGATAGCTTGCTGCGGAACAAAATGCTCCATATACTTGACCTGCAGGATTTTGATGAGCGGACGGAGCTTCCAGTAGCGGTCAGCAGGATCTTCCTCGCTGCAGAAGTGGAGGTTCCGCTTGATCGTGTCAAAGCGATTGCGCGTCATGGCTTGACATATGAGCTCATTGTGAGTGTCCGCAGCCTCTTGCCAGTAGAACCTGGTGTTCACTGCTGTCAGGTAGCTAGTGAGGACGAGGATGCCGATGAAGATGGCGATGTCTTCCCTGCTCAGCTGTGGATCTTGGCGTCCGTTTCGAAGAGCGTAGAGGCTGCTCTCCTTGATAGTGAGGTCGAAGATCTCCTCACCAAGGAAGAGTGTTACCAGTTCGTTTGGACTCATCCCCGAGAACTGGCTGAAGTTAGCCTCAGGGAAAAGCCTGGTAGGCTTTCCCGATGAAGGCGCTGGCTTCATCCACGTCACAGTGTGATGAGCTTGATGACGTCGCGCGGTAGGCTGGTGAGTGGTCTCAGTCCTTGAACTCCTGCGACGCTGAAGTTCAGCTTCAGACTTCAGGATGGGGGCAGAAAGATGGTCGGGGTCGCCCTCGCCTTCGTCCTCCGGTCCGGAGTAGCCGTCAGATACGTCACCTTCTGGAGGGATGAGGATGATGTCCGCTTCATCTCCGCTGGCATCTTCTTCAACCATGTCAAGGACATCATTCAGTGTCTTTGTCTTGTGTCTGAAACAGGAATGGAGCCATTGAAAGTGCTGTAACAGATAATACCAAATAAGCATTTGTGCAAGCCAGCTCTATTTTGTACACAGCAATGCCCACGTGGACAATTTTGTCCATATTTTGCAATTTCTTTTCTAATGATCATGCAACGCAACTGGGAGAACAAGCTAGCGCATCAAAACATGGGACAAAGTCTCCCAAACATGAATACACTGTTAATTTACCTGGCTAATACTCCAGCGCCATGACATCTTACCTTTTGTCATGTGACGTCATCGCGATTTGGGGTCTAAATCCAGCGATCGACTTGGCTGCTCGACGTGTCGCTCAAAACTGGACCGATAAGCTCGGAATCATTCTAAAACGTTTTGCTGGATCTTTCTCGACTTGTACCGGCCGCTGTTAAAAGATGGCTCCACTGTCGCACGCTGTGGGTCTCCTGCACTGCAGAGAGACACGGTTGGACAAAAATGTCCAGTTGGGCGTTCCTGGGTTAACCCAGGAACGCCCAACTGGACATTTTTGCACTCCACAGCAGCAGTGGCTTTTCTGGCTCTGCGTCACAATGTCACAGACTCACATGCATGGTTGGTACGAAAGGTAAGATAATTCACTCATACATAAAATTGCAGGTGCAACGGCACACCGACATGCACGTCACACACATCCATGCTCTCATACACGGCGTCAAATCAGGTAATAGGAGACAGCATTCGTCGTTTTAAGTTGGTGACGATGACGTCAATTGTAGAACCGGAGCGAGGATACGTTGCATCACTGATGACCTGTGACAGCGAGTACCTCTGCAGTAGTCCGGTAAGGTGACTGCCAACGGTGTTCCCGTCGGTCATCCGCAGGTCACAATTCAGGTCGCCGGCCAGGACTAGAAGACCACGCGGTGCTCCATCAGGATGGTCTGTATCTCGTGTTCCAGCTGGTCGAGATCAGCGGTCAGCTGAGAGCCGGTCGGTGAGGGGGGACGGTACAAGGCACAGATGACGACGCCTCTGTCATGCCCCACCGCCACGCGAGCCCAGACGGTCTCCAGTTTGGTAGTCGGGTTGCATAAACTAACTCACAAAAATAAACTAACTGTTATAGACGCGGTGGTGCGGTTCAAACTGTGTATTCGAGACTGCGCAGAGCCAGCGTGACCGCCATCTGCCTCCAGGCGGTCACGTGGTATAACGGAGCTGGGCCTCGCCATATAACGTAAATACGTAGCTACGCCCCACGTAGTACACAGGCCAGCAAGTAGAAACTACGCCAACCGCCAAACTACATGTGAACCTATCACATTCCTCCACCTCGGATAACAAAAGCAAACCGATCAGACGAGCAACAAACGACAACAAACACTGTCAACGATACATGAGTCGATTGGGCTTCTGTAAACCACTCCTGTCGCGGAGACTATATCGGGGCGACACAGCTGCCCTCACTGGGCTCGGGCCCGCCGCCCCAGCCCGCCCCAGACCATCGGTGCAGCTTGTGTGACCGGCTGAGTGATCTGCCGGGGCGTCCGGGAGCGGCTCAGCCTCGGGCGACCGGACCGGCAGCTGCGTCGCCTCCGTCACAGGAGTCTCCGGACTCGCAGCCGTCTCTCGCACGGGAGTTGGCTCCTGCGGGCGACGGTTGACATCATGAGACACGGACACAGCACAATATCGCTTCCTGACACGATCCGCATGCCTCACAATAATTCTTCCATCCGACAATTGGACAGTGAGTTTTAGACCGTCACGACACACCACATGACCCGGGGCCCACCGACATTTGTCCAATCCTCGGAGATTGTCTACCGCAGACACAAACACTTTGTCACCGACTGACACAGCCCTATCCGGACTGCCCTGATCCTTGTACCTCTTTTGAGACTCCTGTTTTTCCCGCACTCTAACCTCTCTACCTGGGATGAGAGAATCCAGATGCGTACGAGGGACTCTGCCTAAAAACAGCTCCGCCGGGGTGCACTGTGTCGTGCTCTGGGGAGTCGTGCGGTACCGGAACAAAAAACGGGATACCTTTGTCTCAACAGACCCAGTCCTCTGCTTATAGAGACCTCTCTTGAAAATGTCTACCGCTTTTTCAGCCGCGCCATTGGACTTCGGTGACAGACAAGGCGTTGTCAAATGACGTATGCCATTTACCTTACAGAATGTTTCGAACTCTGTTGACACAAACCCCTGGGCATTATCTGACACCAGAACCTCGGGCACGCCCCAGGCTGCAAACGAAATACGCAACTTCTCGAGCGTGGTATACCAGTGTCAGCTGAGTGCACTGGAAAAACATCAATCCACTTCGAGTGAGCGCACACCAGCACTAAGAAAAGTGCGCCGTTGACAGTGCAGTGATCTATATGAATGCGCTGCCAGGGACGTGTGGGCCACACCCACGGGTGCAGCGGAACATCGGGAGCGCGACCCCGACACTCCTGACATTTTTCACACGCTCTCACCAGCTCTTTTACATCGTCGTCGAGGCGCGGCCACCAAATATACATGCGTGCTAACATTTTAGTCCTCGTCTCCCCAGGGTGGCCTTCATGCAACATCTTCAGCACCCCCGGCCGACTCTGAGGAGGCACCACGACTCGTGCACCCCGCAGAACGCACCCATCTTCGATACTGAGCTCACCGATTCTAGACTTGTACGGTTGGAACTCTAACCCGAGAGACTCGTCAGCTGGTGGCCAGCCGTCACGCACATACCGGTACACCCGCGACAAAACAGGGTCCACGCTGGTCCAGCGACGGATCTGGGCCACACTGACAGGGGACGAGTCTAGAAACTCCATTAAATGGAGCGTCTCCGCCGGCAGAGGCATGGTCTCTGGCGCGGCAGCTCCTACTGGGAGCCTACTTAGCGCATCACAGTGCACCTGCTTTGAGGCCGGCCGGTACTCAAGACGGTAATCGTACGCGCCGAGCATCATAGCCCAACGAACCATCCTGGGCGAGGCCATCACCGGTAAGGGTTTTTGCTCACCAATGATCCCCAGCAGTGGTTTGTGATCCGTGTGAATTTTGAACGAACGACCGGCGAGGTAATAATGCCATTTCTTAACGGCCGTGATCACTGCCAGTGCCTCCCGGTCAGTCTGAGAGTACCGAGCTTCCGTCTGACTGAGTGTGCGCGAATAGAATGCCACGGGCCGCTCGCCCTCTGGAGTCAACTGGCTCAGCACGCAGCCGACAGCCTGCGGCCCGGCGTCACATGCTACTACGACCGGCAGAGTCGTGTCAAAATGACTCAGAACGGGTGGGTACACCAACAGCGACTTCGCCCGCTGGAAAGCGTCACTTTCCTTCGCCGTCCATCTCCATCGCTGCCCAGAACGGAGCAGCCGATACAGAGGAGACAGGTGAGTGGCCAGGTGCTGCAAAAACCTACTGTAGTAGTTTATCAGTCCTAACCACATACGCAGCTCCTTGACGTTACGAGGCTCTGGGCATTCAAAATCACGTTTACTTTCTCGGATGTCGTGTGCACGCCCTGACTACTGACTTTGAAGCCCAGGTAAGTGATTTCACTCACCGAGAACCGGCACTTAGCCCGGTTCACACGGAGGCCTGCCTCCTGCAACCTGTGCAGAACCTGACGGAGCGCTGAGTCATGCGCCTGCTGGTCCCGCCCGCCACACACGATGTCGTCCAAAAACACACCCACCCCGGGCACACCCGCCAACACGGACTCGAGAGTGCGCTGGAACAGAGAGACAGCGCTAGCATAGCCAAAACTCAGGCGACAGGGCCGCAGTAGGCCCCTCGGTGTGTTTACCGTGAGAAACACGCGGGAACGCTCATCTAACACCAGCTGGTTATAGGCGTTTTTTAAGTCTATTTTTGAGAACACGGTGCAGCCAGATATTTTGGAACACAGCTCCTCGATGCGTGGAAGAGGGTACTGTTCAACATGAGCTGCTTTGTTAACAGTCAAGCGGTAATCCCCACAAATGCGGACTGAAGACCCGCCATCTTTAAGTACGACTACCAAGGGCGCCGCCCACTTACTGTGTCTGACCGGTTCCCACAGGCCGTCCTCGATCCCCTTCTCCAGCTGGGCGTCCACCTCCTCCCGGTAGGCCAGGGGAACGGTGCGTGGCTTGAAGAATCTCGGCTGCACCCCCGGGTCCACGTCGATGCTCACTTCTCCGCCGGTGTAGCAGCCCAGTTCTTCCTTGAAGACGTCCGGAAACTCCCGTAAGATGTCGTCCACTCTGCGGGTCTGCTGCCCGTCGAGCGACTGCGAGCGAACCTGGCAGATGGCCGGCCAGTCCAGACGAATGTACTCCAGCCAGTTCCTCCCGAAGAGGCACCGGCCAGATCCGTCGACCACGACGAGAGGAAGACGGGCCGACTGGCCCGCGTAGTCGATGTCGACCTCCACCTGGCCCAGGACTGCGATCGGTTCCTCGCTGTACGTCTTGAGCTGCACCGAGCAGGGCTGCAGCACAGGACCACGGTCCGGCCAGAGTCGATCGAAGTCTGCTACAGAGCAAACCGAGACGGCGGCCCCCGTGTCGACCTCCATCTTCACGGGCTGTCCATCCAGAGTCAGGTCCACCAGCAGCGGAGGTCGTCGCTCCTGTGACGCCGATTTCGGTTTTAAGCGCAATCACGTGACACACCGCAGTCACGTGACCTAGAGGTGCGCTTTCAATAGACAGAGTGCGCTCATATCGAACCGAGAGTTTTACGCAATTAAAGACAATAAACGTGCTCAGTTTAACCTGCTCTCTTCAATAAAGCGAGATAAATGTTTCATAATGCTTCGGTACCAACGATATTGCCAATCCATCAAACATTGTAGTCAGGAGACGATTTGGCATTCGACACTTTTTCAAATTAATTCGGCGTTAGAATTGCACATATTTTAACAAATTGCGCTTTACAACAACAGTCGACTGAGCCGTCCTAGCGCACCCATTCCATCTGCGCCGGCAGGCGACAGAAACCGCCAGTGGCGGAATCAGGGAGGAAGGGGGGGGGGGGTAAGAAAGTGGGGAAGAAGTAGCAAATGGCTTGTGGCGTCCGAAGCTCAATAAGAGCCTAGGTACTCAACCGGAGCCGGAGCCGTCCACAAATCTACGGCTCCATATCTTCTTTGAATTGGGCTGCCTAATCGTAGGCTATGACTTCATTGGTGGTTGATTTATTTCAACCGAATGTCATAGTCATGAGCTGCTGATCGCATGTCTCTGGTCCATCTGCATTCTTTAGTTACTATCATGAAATACTCGGGAAACTTTGCCCTATTTTAGCTACTGTGGCTGTTGACGGCGTTCAAGTGTGAAACCAATGGCGTTAATGACGTAGAAGAACTTCAGTGAAAATGTCTCCCAATTACTCCAGTGACCTTGACTCCAGGGTGGTGTTTCACAGCAGATCGCTGCAGTGCGCTGCGCGCGTCGGCGCGTTGGGTTTCCATGGCAATATCAACAAACTTCACTCTGACGCTAAGCTATGACGTCATCGCAAAACGCTAGCGCGCCGCTCCACCAGCACGCTAGCAGCATTCGCACCCAAACCTCTGTTCTCTTTGTACTTGGTTCCTTAGGACCTCTGTTCCAAACGCGATTCATCATAAGCTAACAGATCGCTCGCAACGTCATTCGAGTGACGTCAGGGGTATGCCTTAGCTCCCAGCGCGCGCAGCGTCGGGCGGTGAGACAGGGGCCAGGGCCCAGGACAATATTCATTAATCGGTTTATCGTCCAAGGCCGTATATTAGGGGGTTAACTCATCAGTAGGTCTGTTTACATTTGCTCAGCTGACGAAATGACGTCAATGGTCGTCCGCCCCGCAAGGATCAGACGGCCGCACACAGTAGGTAGGTACATAACGCGGGCACAGGCAACAATCTCATCGACCTTATCTTGATAGAAAACACAACAGTAAAACGCTCTAAGCAGGGGCGCAGCCAAGGGGGGGGGGCACACTGGGCTTTAGCCCCCCCCCCCCCAAATCTAGTAGGCGCCCTCATCCAGGGCGCCTTCGGCGCCCTGGATGGCGCCTTGGATGGATGGATGGATGGATGGATGGCGATGGATCGTTTCGGGGTGCCGAAGGCGCCTTTCTAATGTCCAGCACTCTAGGCGCCCTCGACGGTTAGCCATTGCGGTACACCATGCGGCACTGGCGCCCAGGTTTACAATTTTATATCTCTTTGTGGGTGAAGATGCACCCACAATCCTGAACTGCCAGACATCCACCCCCAATCTCCTGACCATCTAGTTAGCACCCTGGCATCATCTTCAGCGCCCTTCTGTCTGTTCGGCGCCCTTCTGATCTGTCGGCGCCCTTCTCGCCATTCAGCGCGCTTATGGCCTGCCGGCGCCCTTTTCACATTCGGCGCCCTCTGGGCTGACCAGTCGGCGCCTTCATGGTCCTTACCACACAGCATCCTCCTGATCTTTCTGCGCCCTCCACACTTGCCGGCGCCCTCCTGACCTGTCAGCGCCTTCCTTATCGTATTATAGCGCCCTCCTCACCGTACATCGCCCTTATGGGCCCATCGATAGCGCTTCGGCGATACCTATCGCCTAGAGGCTGCAATGGGGCCCTTAGAATGCGTTGTCAGACCCCCCAGAGGCCGGTGTTTGACCCAAGGGTCAGCGAAGGGCTCAAAGGGCAAAGGCCCAAGGTAGGGCCCCAGAGGCTGATGTGGGCCTTCAGAGGCAAGTGCGTGACGCCCAAAGGTAAGGCTTGAGCCCCCCCAGAGAACATAATAGGGCCATCAGTGGCCGGTGTAGAGACCTCATAGGCCAGTTTGGGGCCCCTCAGAGGCTAGTGTGGGGCCTCAGGTGTCGGTATGAGGCACTAAAAGACCGTTATGGGTCCTCAGAAGCCGGCATCGATCCTGCAGAAGCCAGTACGGGGCCCTCAGAGGCACATAAGGGTCAGTTTGGGTCCCAAAGACAGAAATGGGAGTTGGGACCATCAGAGGCCGGTGTGGGACCTTTAGAGGCTGGTTTGGGTCCTTAAGGGCCAAATTAGGGCCCTCAGAGACCAGTACAGGACCTGCAAAGGGCAGTTTGAGACCATCAGAAACCGAATTGGGCACTCAGAGGCTAATGTGGGTCCTTACAGGCCAGCATGGGGCCCTCAGAGGTTAGCGTGGGGCCCTAAAAGACCAACATGGGCCGGCGTTGGGCCCCAGAGGCCATTAGAGGGCCCTCAAAGACCAAGATGGGCCCTCAGAGGCCGATGCAGGCCCTTAGAGGCCGGCATCAGGTCTTCAGAATCCAGTGCGGGGGGCCCTCAGAGGCTAATGTGGGCCCATACAGACCGTCATGGGCCCTCAAAGGTCAGAATGGGACCCTAAAAGACTGGCATTGGCCGGCGTCGGAACCCAGAGGCCAGCAGAGGGCCCTCAAAGGCCAAGATGGGCCCTCAGAGGCCGATGCGGACCCTTAGAGGCCGGCATGGGGTCTTCAGAATCCAGTGCGGGGCCCATAGAGGCTAATGTGTGTCCTTTCAGGCCAGCATGGGGCCCTCAGAGGTCAGTGTGGGGCCCTAAAAGACCGGCATGGGCCGGCGTTGGACCCCAGAGGCCAGCGGAGGGCCCTCAAAGGCCAAGATGGGCCCTCAGACGGCGATGCGGGCCCTAAGCGGCCGGCATTGGGTCTTCATAATCCAGTGCAGGTGCCCTCAGAGGCTAATATGGGTCCTTACAGGCCAGCATGGGCCCTTAGAGGTCAGTGTGGGGCCCTTAAAGGCCGGCATGGGCCGGCGTTGGACCCCAGAGACCAGCGGAGGGCCCTCAAAGGCCAAAATGGGCCCCCAGAGGCCGATGCGGGCTCTTAGAGGCCGACATCGGGTCTTCAGAATCCAGTGCGGGGCCCTCAGAGGCACTTAAAGGCTAGTCTTGGGACTAGAGAGACAGAAATGATGCCACCAGAGGCCGGCGTGAGGCTATCAGACGCCGGTTGGGCCCCTGAGTCCAGTTTAGGGGCCCTTAACCCGCGCCCCGCTGGGGGGGGGGGGGGGCAGAATCTGCCCCCTCCCGTTTTTCGCCAATAACTTCTAAACGCGTTACGCCAGCGACGTCAAACTTTCAGTACCTTATCGTACATCGATTTGACACGTTCCCTGACAATTTGAGCGAAATCCGTCGGAAAATTTTTGAGAAATTTACGTTTTAGTGACGTCATGTTCGCCATTTTCACCTCAAAAACGGCAAAATTTCAAACGCCGCTCACATCTTCATTTTTTAAGGAATCAAGACGTAACAAAAAAGGTTATGCGTGATTCTACTTTGTCTATCAAATGGCTATCTCGGTTTTTTGAAAATTTGAGTGTATCGAAAAAACCGGAATATATGTCGGAGAAGTGGTCTATGTGCACCTACATACCAATTTTTAGAAGAATCGGTTCAAAAATGTGGGAGTTATTCAAAATTTTATGTCGTCACGACAAACAAAAATTTTGAAAAATGATTTTTTTTGGAAGTTCTAGACCTCGTACGGAAACCAAAATAGCACCATTCGATTCGTCGTGAAAAACTGCATCAGATGGACACCTTTTTAGGCCTTAACAACCAACTTCAAAATTTGACCTCACTTGACCTGACCTTGACCTGACCTCGACCTGAAATTCATCCACAGGTGGTCCATATCACTTATTGAGTGTGCCTATTGAATTCTATGAGTAAAATGACCCATAAAACATGTGTCGCATATGCCCTTTTCTATATTTTGTTTTTGGTGACCTGACCTGACCTGACCTGACCTTGACCTTGACCTTTGAATGACATTGTATGCAACGAATATTGTCTTGGTAGTCTAAGAACACGTTTTGGGCAATCAGTCTCAGTCCATTCTTCGGCAACTACGGTGCAAGGCCGATACTGTAGAAACTTGCATTTTGTACCCTTGACCTGACCTTGACCTGACCTCTGACCTACTTAAGCAAAAAAATTTGGGCTCTTAAGATCCGCCTTGTTAAGAGCTTTCGATTGCCGTTTTTCCCGTCTTTCTACGATCATCGGTTCGGAAGTTAGACACCAGCAGGGCGCGTATGGCTGAATAGCCCAGCGGTGCGCGGGTTAAAGGCCAGTGGAGGGCCCTCAGAGGTCAATGTGGG